GTCTACATTTTTCACGCTATGCAACATGCGGCAGTCGCATTCTTCAGGTATGTAGTCTGTCTATGTAAAAACAACTAATTAAGGATTTTTGTTGTTGTTGTTGCGTACCGAGGGAGGGAAAACACTGGCACACTTGGCTAGAGTTAAAGATAGCTATCAAAATAAAGCAGGAAACTGGGGTCATTGAGAACTAAAGTAAAATAAAAACCATAACTATAGTTCAGCCTTTTATCAGCCCACCAACTCTTGCCATAAAACAACTTCACGTACTTTTTTTTTTGCTTTATGTGTGTGATAATGACTTAGATCCTTACTAAACGAATGAATTCATCTTTCTCTTACAAAACGAGCTAAACTTAAAGCAAATATCGTGTTTCTTCTAAAAGTATGTTCAGAGACGCGTTGTTCTTGAAGCCACCGAGAATTCCTGCTCTAAAATAGCAACATCGACGACGGAACTTTGGCATATCTCGCTAGCTACATCCAAACCGCTCGCGAATCTAAAAACCCCGTTCAACGGCTGCTTCTTCATCGAATGGTCTTTATTGAGAAAACAAATAACCGAGCTGCAGGTTTGGTCCAAAACAAATTAGGCAACAGTTTAGCGCCGCCCAGCCTAGCCTCGAAGACACAAGGCGCGAGCCTTAGGGATAGAGAGATTAAGAAACGGGGCAGAAAAAAAAAAAGTTGCTTCCTTTTTTTTTTGTTTTGCATAACAACATTGCAGCACCGCACCAGCCTTCGGAATCGATTGTGTGAGATGTTGACGGTTGTGGTTGAACGCGAGCTGCATGTTGATAAGCGCAGTCAAGTATTGTATTAGTGTTCGATAAAGGAAACGTTCAGCAAGAACCGGGCGAGATGTAAACGTAATTTTAGTTATTGTCTTGGGCTCCAACAATCGTTATCTTGTTAGGGAAAGCACTTTGTTTCGCTCCTATCTGACGTCGTATATTTTGTCTCATTTACTATGTTCCGGGAAACTCGAATAACTCCACCTAGCGGCTGCAGTGACATGTGCACGTCCTCGGCTTAAAGAGCAAGGTCGCGATGCTAAAGTATGCAAATTTCTTCTGACGCGTTCGAGAGGCGCTAAAGAAGCAAAGGTTCTCGAAACCTGGCACCTCAGAGCGCGATTAGAGGAAAAAAAGACAAGAAAAACGAAAAAAAAAAAAAATCTTAAATTGAGGCAGTTCGTACGATGTCTAGGGAAACGGGTAAAACGCGCTAATAAGAATTCACTTCGAGCGCGCGTTCTTGGAGCTGTGAAGCTTTACAGGCAGCATAAAAAAATGAGAGATCGACAAAGAGAGAGAGGGGAATAAAAAAAGGGAGGTAAGCAAACCGGAACCTGAAGTTTGAAGACGAAGAAAGCAGTGAGCCGCTTTCGCTAACGATCACTAATGAGCTTCCGATTTGATTCGACACTGCAGAAGGAGGAGAAAAATATGCGGAGCTCCGTTGAGGTTGAGCAAAACATTGTGAAAACACGTTTTATTTTTATTTTTTGAGGGGGTTTCTTTTGGATATTATTTGCATACTTTTTTTTTTCCAAATCTTCGTTTTTTTTCTTTTTTTCGCTCAATCTTAGCGTACTTTTTCGGTACTACTTTTGTCTCTTCTGGACTTTGGGTGCTTGTTCAGTTTTGAGCGGTAAGAAGCTATAGGTTAGTAGGCGCTTACGACCCGTTTTTAGGCGCTCAAAAGCCTGCTAACAAGAACCGGGTTTCTTTTTTTTTTGTGTGTGTGTTTTTTCGTGCTTGTTTTGCTGAGAAAGAATGCTCACCAAAGAGACAGCCCGAAGTCAACCGGGGGGAAAAAAAAAAGAGAAGAAAAAAAGAAAAAAAGGCGGGTAGCGGCGTTTCGAATGAATTATTCAAATTTCCGCGCTCCAGGGTGCGCTTCCCCGCAGGACTGCGCTGTTGACGGTGCAGCATCTCGACGCCGCCGGCTCTCGCGCCTGGCTTAGGAGACTCGCTTGTTTGGCGACATAATCCCAAAGCGGAGCAGCCGCCACCTTCGGCTTCTTCATAAACCAGAACGAGTTCGCGCCTGAAGGTTCCACCTTGTTTCCAAATATCCAGCTTCCGCGCTGCGTCCGTGCGAGCGAAGGTGTTGACAATGGGAAGGGGTTTGGCGGGATTGAAATTAAAAACAGTACACTAAAGAAAAATAAAAAATAATAAATATCATCACGAACGATATAAATAAATGAATAACACACACATTTCTCCCGTTTTTTTGTGCAATGTTTTGTTGTTTTTTTTAAATAAAAAAAATGCAAAGCGTTTTTGTTTTTTTTTTATGTGTGCGTTGCCGCCCACAATGTAAGCGCTATGTTTTTGGTTTCATATAGCGCAATCCAAACCAACGGTTTTTCTTCGGGCGAGTAGGTCGTCCACCTCCCGGAAATGGCGTATTTCGTGATGTTTTGGCTGTTTTCGGTTCTCCTTCTGAGTCCCAACCATACGCGTTGGTTAGGACGGTACGTTTTCGGGCGAGGGGAGAGCATCTGCGCCAGACGGCGAAAAAACGTGGAGCCGGAACCGGTGCCCTCCACCGATTGGCCGGGAGAGGACTAGCGCCATACTACGTCACCGCGCGTTTTCGTGCGCGTTCAGACGAAGTTAAAATCATCCAACTTTCTTAGGCGCGCCCAGAAGGCGCAAGGAATCTGCCCACGGCCTACGCGCGCACAAGAGCACGTCGGTTTGGATGGCGCTTAGTACACCAAATGTCCGCGAACATGAATAGTGGACGTGAATGGAATTGCCTGAGAGGCTGTGTAAGGGATAAACTCTGCGCTTGAGGTCTTGCGCGTTAAGAGATTTTGGGGATCGCGGCTGCGTAGGGGGCCAGACATGGGCCCGCGAAAACAAGGCTGAGGAACAGGAGGGCGACACGGGGCAGTGCTCGGGTGGTGAGCTTAAAAGCTGCTGGCTACGGAACGGTGAAAGAGCAAGTCGCTACCTCCAGATTGGGCGTTGGCTGAACAGGACACCCACAAGATCTACGAGCACGTTCAACGAACATATTAGGAAGCCACCGCGGTTAAAGGGGCCCTGCATTCATAATTAGGCGTCTACATTTTTTGCGGTTTCCACGTCTCTTGGGGTTTGGGCAAGCCAGCGGGCACGGAGAGAGTAACTAAATATCAATACGTCATATTTTAACCAGACAAAGCGGAAACCTCCTCCACCTTTGGGGGCGACCCACGGTGCCGAAAGCACGAGATATGTGACGTCTTTGGTCCTGGGCTTACTACTGGTCAGAGCCGCTAAAAGCTTCTTTTTAATCGAAATACAAAATATAAGTGGCGCGAACCGTTTCAATTATTTTTAAAAGTAGTCTTTGTTCACTATCTTAGATCAGAAAAGAAACAAATGCAGTTTAGAAAGTACGAAAACAAGAAATGACTCGTCGACATCCCCGCCACCAAACGGTGGAAAAGGCGGCGCATACTAGAAAAGTGTAGTGGGATCAGGCAGCAACGTGCTGCGATCGTAGAAAGGTCCCGGATATACGGGGCGGCGCTGTGGTCATATCAACTGAAGGATCCGACCGGTTCCGAGCTTTCCCAACGCCTTCAGCGAGCAGCTTTGGATTGCGGTTCGGCCTTTTGGCGGTATGGCAGCTCGAAGTGGCTCCCGTTCTGAACTGATCTTTACCCCGGGTTTACTGTCGTTTGTGGTCAATGAAGTGTCATGCCGAATTAGTGTTTAATCGCGCAGCAAATGCAATGCGAGCCGCCCTGGCTGCCCACTTTATACAGCCTAGCCAGAGCTAGCTTTAGTGGCGCCCTCTCGAGCCGTCGACACGGAGTGCGGCAGCCGTGAGCGCTCGTTGAGTTCACTACCCCTCCTCTAGCACGGCCACTCAAGCAACCAAGGACGTCATGAAGGAGGTTTTTTTTTTGCTTGTTTTTGTAATTTTGATTTTCATATAGCTTTTAAAATAACGCGAAATTCGAAAAAAAGAAAAGTTTCATTAAGTTACTACGTTCAGTGCGCACAAGTTGGGTGCAAATAAAAAAAAAGAAAGAGGTCTTTGCAGGGCCCCTTTAAGGTGCTGGAGTGAGTTTCGGTCTCATATTGGGTTGGGCTGTCCCGTACGCACGCGGATACGGCGAGATCAGCGAATAAATATACTGGTCTTGAGCTTCTAACGACTTTTGTCGTAATACCAAAGTTAAACTTTTTTTTTTTCAGTGACTCGCTCTTTTTGCAATACTAGAGTCTAGCAAACATTGATCGTCCATTTATTAATGATATTCTAAACATAAAAAGGTATCTTTTTTTTATTGGGTATTCCGTAATATCGGGAAGTAAAATTGCCTGAAGACATTACCCCCATGTTCAGCCCCAACAACCGATGCACGATTATCTTCTTCTCTTTTCCCTCCCACACAAGCCATTTTATTCCACTTTTAACGCCTCTTCCGGCCTTCCCGCAGAAACCGACACGGGTTTATGGACAGTCGTTTAATCAGCGCTCTAATCCTCCTTCAATGTTTAAGGGCAATTTTTACTCCGATCCCCCTCCTCCACACCACCACCTCTGCCGCCGAGACAAACCTAGCAAGGCGCGACTCAGAGTGGAACCTAAAAATCTCTAAAACACGGACTCGCGACTCGCTTATACACGCAAAAAACCCATCGAATTTCGGAACACGTACTCAAAAGAAACGACAAAAAGAAATTTGGGAAAGAAAGAGGGTGGCGGGTCACGGAGAAAATATTTCTGCACAAACGACGGGAGCGCGCGCGGCCCGCGTTTTTCCGAATCTACCATCTGCCGTAGCGTCCGCAGCGCGGCGCTACTATCGTCGGAACTTATTTTTCCTCTCACTACTCTTCTTCTCGGTGCGGCTTTCCCCCGAACGCCCCCGAACTGGAACTGGTTCCCTCGGCTCCCTGTGGGTCCCGCTTCCCCTCGTCGACTTCCCCCTCTCCCCTCTATTCCGTGGAGCCCGACGGGCGGCGACCGCGCACCATGTGACCAGAAAGATCGCGCCGTTCCCAGCGGAAGGAGCCTCCGGTCTCCGGCCGCAGAGGAATCTCGTCCTCTCCGCGAGCTTCTCCCGCTGCTGCTCTCGCGAGCGTGTCGTCGTGCTCTCTCCGAGTTGCGCCGCATCTTCCCGTCGCCGGCATCTCTTCTCCTCCGCTCTCCGCTGTTGTGGTGTGTCGTGCTCTCCGAAAACTTCGGCGCCGGACCCTCGATCGCTCCCCCCCTCCTCGTTATTTGTCGTGTCCTCGTCCCCCGCTCTACTTCCTACGCCCGGCGCGTTTCCCCGCTGCTCTTTGGATTATCGGGAGCCTGGTCCGTCGGTCGGCGCTGCTTTTGACTCCGTGTCTCGTCTCCTCGAACTCAACCGCTGGATGGAGCTGTGTCGGAGGAGGAGGTGCCGCCGCTCCTGAGTTATGGTGAGAGTCTCGACGGGGCTAACCACGCCCGTCAACATTATCCGCTTCACATTCGCGTACGCTGCAAAAAAAAAAAAAAAAAAAAAAAAAAAGTTTAGATTTGTGTAAAGTGTATACAGGACAAAAGATTTCACAATAAAATGGGTTCGGGTATGCCCCACGACACAATATTTGCGAATACGACTTCGAAGATTTTTCGTGCAGAATATCGAGGAACGCGGAATCGCCCCGCTTAGGTTGGTTCTTAAACGACCACTTTATACCACGCGAAACGTTTTGGTGACTCTTTTCAAAAGTCCTCCGAGCCACACTGGCGGTCATTATCGCTTGCTCACGAAGCGCGTCATTAGTTCTGAGTCTCGCCGAACGATGGCGTCAGCGCTCGTTGCCAATACGAGCTGAACCGAGTTCGCGCCGAACGATGACGCAGTACTCGTGTCCAATACATGCTCAGATTGTGTGACAAAGCAATGGCGGACGTGCGTTGGCCCGTGCTCTTGAGAGGCATATAAGAGCGAGACGAAATAAACCGACGATCGACTGTTCGCAGTAACGGTGTCGTTCTCTCGACATGGTGCCCTTCAGTAGATGCAGACGAAGCGCTCAAAGTGTGTTCGAAAACTGTAGGTCCCCGTCGCATTAAAATAACACTCGTAATCTACGGCTCTAGATATGAACTTCGACGCAATAGTGTCCGCAGGTAACACCACTAACACATCTTGTTCGTGGATGTGTTCCTAGCTTTAAATAAATTCGGGCAACTAACAATCAAAAAAAAAAAAAATGCGCGGAAAAAAAATTGTTCGGATTGTCGGATTTATCTGTCTTTTTTCTTTCCCCGTCAATCGTGTAAGTATCCGTTTTATGCAGCCTCATTTGTTATTCATAGTGGATGCCATGATGATATCCAACAGAAGCATGTTTTACGTACATCGGCTCGATTAGAAAGACTTTCGATCCGATCACGCGACCCAAAAAGTCAACGGGACTATGGCATGTAGACCCGATACCTTGGGGAAAAAATAACCCAAGCGCCACCGGCTCCGTTGCCTGTTTATACCGACGACTGTGTGCGTCGCGTGGTCTGGTATTGTTGTCTTCTCTCATCCACGCTCTAAAAATGAAATTATCTGGTCCTAAAAAATTCTTAAGGGTTATTCCGCTTCCACATATTTTGCACCATAGAAAGTTATTTTAAACACCCCCTAAAACGGTTCCTCGTGAAGCCCCATAAGGGTTCTTTATCGTCAAGTTGGTGCTCCAGAGGGCATAGTGCTTGAGGCGAAACCGTTCTTTGTGAGCTGAAAGAGTTCCTGGGGCGTCGTTCTGCGTGAAATGAAATCTCGTAAGCGACTCGAGACACAGCGCAACCAAGCCGTACATTACACCTAAGAATCCTATACTTCGTTTCAGCTTCGGTTCGAGCGCGGCTGATGTTATGAGCCGAAGGGCCGATCAAACAGAGAAAGAGGCACAACGTCATGACGTGTTCTCTGCAGTTGATAGGACCAGCCGGTATTCGCCGTCCCTCTGTGCGTGCTACTCCGCCGGCTAGTCGTATCAAGCGCAGAGAGCACGCCATGGCGCTGCGCTTTTTGCGGTGTTTGATTGGCCCTTCGGCTCTTAACATCAGCCGCGCTCGGACCGAAGCTGTAACGAAGTATAGCTCAGCCCCGTTTATTGTTATAACGCATCTGTCCTCTCTTCTTCTTTGGGTATTGCCCTCATTTTAATCTAAAAGTGCAGCGACTTAGCTTTGCCTTTACACTTTCAAGACGCGAGTTTCCAAGCAGTGACGCCGCACTGCTGAGAACGACGAGCGGGGCTTCATTCTTTTATCTGGCGTAACATTCTTTATTCTGCTGAGGTTCTGACTGTACCGCCTCGCCGAAGCGGTTAATCGACCCGTCTTTGCTGATTACCGCAGTTGTTATATTGTTGATAGTAAGCTATTTGGTCCAAGTCTCCCTCAAGGGTTCTGCGTAAAACCCCCGCAAAAAAATCTGATATTTTTTTATATACGGCCTCTATTAATGTTTTGTGTACATATTTCGGCGAACGTGTCTAGATATATTTTGATAAAAGGGTTGCGGGTGTGGCCATTGGTTAGAATTATGCGATGACCAACACGTTTAACGTTTCGCTTTCACTAAAATAAACGATATACACGCCTACATAAATTATTGGTAACGTAGATACACTCTAAAAAAAAAAAAAAGAACCCGAGCGTCTACTTTTCCTCACGACACTCGGAGAGCCAATCAACGCAACGTAGGGAGGCAATTCAGCGAATGACGATACCGTAACGTATGTTTAATCCCCCCAAGAAACGGGATCTGAGTTGCGACATTAAGCAATGCAGAACGTCACGCTTGCATCGCTTAATATCACAACTCAGACTGCGTTCTTGGTCTAAACATGTGTTTCGACATCGTAATCCGCTGAGCTTCCTCCGCACTATGCGGTGATTGGCTCTCCGAGTGTTGTGCGGGAAAGTAGACGCACAGGCTTTATTTTTTTACAGTGTAGTATTGGCGTGGTCAACCAAGGAGTAAGCTCCCTGGTGAATAAGCGGCGAGATAAAAGCATTCAAAACATAGATCCACGCCCCAGTGTATGTGCAATAAACATTTCCAAACGCTGTACGGCAAAAAAGTTACAGCACCAAGCGCGTAAATCAAACGCCTCACACAACATGAAAAAAAAAAAAAAAAAAAAAAAACTTTAATGTTTGGTCAGCAAGCGCCAAAAAAATATATCGTCAGGACTGTCATTTTTTTTTTTTTCAGCGGAACTGTTAAGGGCTAGTTTCCCCATGATTGAGTTCGTCAGCAAACAAATAATGACAGAAAGATTTGGACAGCTATCGCCTCTGTGAGCGACGGCGGCAACGAAACAATCGGCTTGCCGGTTCTCTGGTTGCCGCCGTCGCCCATGGATGGCGGCCACCTTTCCAGCCTTTCCACTCTGGCTTGCCGACTTACGGCCGGCCATTTCTTCATTTTCACCATAGTACAGCTTCGCTGGTCTTCCTTCTTCACCAGAGTGGAAAGGCTAAAGGTTTTTTTTTTTTTTTTTTTTTTTTTTTTTTTTTTTTTTTTAACGTTTGCTGAATTGGATTCAACCAATCGAGGAACAGTGAAGTCGCCGTGGTCCTGCGATTTTATCCCTGCGTAACCGTTTGAGTCGGTGATACTAAACCGACAAAAACAAACTGCGCCATGACGAAGCACTTTTGGCGCTGTTTGATTGGCTGCATCGCTTTGTAGCGTCGGCTTGGGTGGGACTTAAGGCTCTGTTATACTCAGACGTTGAGCGCCGCGAAACGTAGCGTAGCGCAGAACGCGCATGCTTTCATCGGTCGGCGAGCAGGAAGGAACTCGATATTTGCGACCAATCGGTATCTGCGTGCCCTGCGTTACGTCGCGTTTGCTGCGCTCAACACCGGAGTACAATAGAGCCTTTCTAGTGAAAGGGAGTATACGTCGAGCAAGTGATCTAAAATGCGTCTTTGGCGCCTCGAAACACAAAGAGGGGTACGCCAATCAGAGGGCGATGCGGAGCGAAAGTATGTTCCTGATTAAATGATATAGTGGGTAGGCCTCGAGACAGCTTGCTTCGAGGTCTACACAGTAATGCTTCAATCAGAGCCAATCAAAACTCGGCGTATTGACGTACGTCATCACAACCCCTTCAAAAGAAGAAGCGGAGGAACTTGCGCTGCGAAGGGGCTTCCTGCGCTCAAGCTTTGGACAAACTGTGACGCCCTCATTTTGGGTAGTGCAAGCTCACCTGATTGAGCCTCGCACGCCTTCGCTGAACTTGTTCTGTATTAAAGCGTCCCTGCTTTAGTACGAAACGCGAAATCACAAGGAAAATACAAAAAAAAATAACCTCATGGTAGCTCAGGAAACGTTAAAGGGGTCATGAAACGCTTTTCCAACTTTTTCCTGTTTAGCTTTCCTCCACAACTCATAAATCGCGCATTCCACCAAACAGTTAAAGAAGACGAAAAGGGGGAGTCCCCTCTTGCTCGCACTCTCGTTTGTGTAATCCCGGACACATCCATTCTCCCCCTAGAAGATTAGCCCGTCGCTCAAAATTCAGACAAAAGTTGCTTTCCCCACCCCGTTCATTCCGAAGCTGACAGTGCTGTTGAAGCTACGCGCTCGTTGGGCCAGCCACACTTGCCACGTGAGCCAGGCAAATGGGGCTGCGGAGAATGAAGTCAGGTGATGAAAGGGAGGCGGCTGATTGGTCCGGCAAGCGCGTAGCTTCCACCACAATGTGGGCTTAGGGGTGAAGGGAATAAGTGAGGTCCGGTTGCGTGTGACGTCAGTTTGGACCCGATAACGCGCTTTTGGGACCGCGGTTGTATCACAGTGAAAAGGCAGAGAGGTTGCGAAGGGGAGGAGGTACGAAATAGTCCGCTCTGTTTTCAAATTTTCGCACTGAAAGTCAGGCTTTTGACTTTCTACCTTTTTCTTTTGGTCCACTGAACGATGTGCTATTAGTAAAATCCCAATCTAAAATGATTTATCCCAACCCAAAAATCGTTTCATGGGCCCTTTAAGACGCTAAGAGCGTGAACCAAGACGCCGTTGCACGCGTTCCAAAGTATAAATGAAAAAAAAAAAGCGTCTTGGCCAACGTTTTTTGATTAGCTCAGTTGCGGAACTGTTCATAGAGGCCGCATGCAGGAGCAGTCCCCCTCCCCCCCCCTCCCCGCCCTCCTCACTCAGCACGACTCGCCTATCGTCGTTCGACGCACCAGACGGCTGCTTTGGTAAGTGCAGTAGATTCTATGGGGACAAGTACGTTTCGAAGCGCAGCTTCTAGATGGCGTTCCACCGTACTCTATGGAGCACACAGCTCGTAAACGAAAATCTAGATGGCGCTTCGAACGACAGCAGGTGGACTGAAGTGAGAGGGGAAGGGGGGGGGGGGGGGGGGGGAGAGAGAGAGAGAGAGAGAGGAGAAGAGAGGAGAGGAGGAGGAGG